TTATTATTATTATTATTTAGCCGTGTTACCCACATAAACCTGGGTTAGAGTAAAACTGTAACATTGACCACCTACCTGTAACAAACCTGTCACTTCATGAACCCTTCATCATTTAAAAAATAAGTTTATGAGCAAGTGTTAGGAATAAACTCCTGGAAAATGATTTCTTAGAAAGAGTGGGAACTCTGAGTTTACTTATAAGTTTTTATGTAGCTCTCAGTTGTATGTCTATATGTATCTGTGCATCAGTTAAACCTACAAACAGCAGAGAGCAGCCTTTAAAAAACGTAAATATGTTGTAAATATATATATATATATATATTGTGCTAGGATCCATGTCGAGCTGCTGCGCGCTCCTGGAGATATAAAGCCGCAGTATGTCACACTTCATTTCACATGACAGCCTGTCAGCTCTGTAATTGTTTTCATCAGGAGATTTCTGGGACCTGAAATTGGAAACCCTGCTGTGCTCAGGAAAGCTATGATTTGACAAGTTATGCTGTTTCCTTCCTTCATAAGTTGGATGAGAGTGACACTTTTTACTCGCAGAGAAAAGATGTTTTAATAAGCACATGTCTCCGAGACTGATGGGTTGATGTGCTGAAGCTGCTCTGTGGTCGCTGGCACCGATGCTACAGATAACGTTAGAAAGGTTTTTCTCCATAATGTTTCATGTTTACTTTAGAGAATAAATGTGCCGTCACCTGGTAGAGGACACATCATTTAAGGGAGAGTGATAAGGAATACAGCTGGGTGAAGAGTTAAAGGCAGAACTCATTTAAAGTGTGTGAGGGAGCAGCTTCAGTTTGTTATTCCAACATAACCGAGGAGCTCTCTGGAAATCCAATAAACTGAATTTTAGCTCTTTTAAAATGTCTCAAATAAGATTTTAAGTTACGCTACTTGTTTAAAGTTGCATTTTCAGTCTCACTATTATGTGTTTTTTGGGGAGAAATTTGTATTAATCGTGCTGTAACAAACTACAAAAAGAAACTACTGACCAACATTGATCTTCCTTCAAATCCTTTATACTTTTATTTCACCCGTACGGCCGTAAAATGGGTCTTACATTTAATTCATAATGTTCTTAAAAAGTCTTAAATTTAACCTGTTTAAACCTTACATCAGTTGCATGTAAAAACCATTTTATAACTGTTGTGTGTCTGTTGATTTAAATAGGTTTTCCCTCTGTCTTTAGGACACTGTTGAACCTAAAATGAACTGTTTTAATAGAAGCGTTGGTGCGTTGAACATCCTGGGGCAGAAATATGTTGTAGTTGCACTTACAGTGAAAACTGTTTTGCTTTTCAGACCGTTTAAAACAAAGGTTTACACATATGTTTGTAAGGGCTCTATTACGGGGCGATAAGTCTGTTTTAACACTTTTGTGTTGTCACCTTGGACGTATTTTAACACATTGGAGAAGTTGCTCCTGACAACCAGTCTGTAGGAAACAGATTCAGATGCTGCTGAGAGGAGAAAAACAAAACAAATATATCTCTATACATTCATGGTCAACCAATCAGCAGCTGGCAGTGCACTAATTGGTTTTTCTGGATTGGTTTAAATGCCACCGGTTATTTAGCTGCCGTGCTGATTGCTTGGAAATGAACCCTGCAGACTGTAGATCAGGTAGCTTTCAGACTCCTGCTGGTTTTCTTTCCTCAGTTAGTTACCTGCATTAAACCGGTGTAACAGGTGTAAAGTAGTTCCCCGGTAGAAGAGAATGAAACACAGGTTTGACAGCATGCTGCCTTGTGTCATCCTTATTATATTACTTATAAAGTATAAAGATAACAGAAATCAGTGTGTGCTGTTGGTTTTAAGCCGTCCCAGTGAGACAGAATTCAGATTTATTTGCTTTTGTACTCAGTAGTTGGGCAACAGATTTAATTTGACTAAGTTCGTTCTGTGGTTTGAGTTTGAGGATTGTGATTGATTCCAAGAATGATTTAAAAACAGCTTCTATAAGTGGTAAATGTGCTTATTGAAGCCTGAGGATGCTGCACAAATGTATCTTCTTAATATCACCGTTTGTTCTTGCGGTTCATCAGCTTTCTAACAGCATTAAAACCCTCTCTGCTTTTTTAACAGACACAAACATACAGAGGTTTTGAGTAACATCGTGTTTCCACTGTTGGTTAGAGGAAAATAATCATGAAGTTATCGTTTTGTTACTGCCAGAGATTCCTCAGATACGGGATGGGCCTGCGTCGTCCCCAGTGTCGCTCCGCTGAGCTCCAGACTGTACGCAGATGTGGAAGCACGTATGAGGATGTTTGGCTCCTCTGGTTTCTGTCTCGGGGGAGAGTCGTTCGTTCATGTCGAGCTCTCTCTGCGAAGCCAGAGGAAGGTCAGAGTAAAGAGCAGAATTAACCTCACACGAGACACGAGACTGCAGCAGGCTGTTACTTACAGCGACGGAAAGATTGTGAAGAAGGTGGAATCAAATTTAAGATTTGTATGTGTTCAGATGTCGCAGTTTATATTTGCAGATAGAGGCTGTAAAGAATGAAGCACTGGAGATGTGTGGGGGCGGCGGCGGAGGCGTCTTTATTAATGCCATAATTATTCTCAAGACAGGTGAATGTCACGAAAGTTGCCGTCATGTTGTACATCTGTTTCTTTTTTCTTGTTTTGGATCAAAACTGCAGCCATAGAAACTCATTCGGTGTATTATTACAAGAATATTGTCGGCTTGTTATGTTTCTGATTGGGAATCAGTCTGAATAACACAAGCTCCAGTTTCTGTATTCGTACTGTTCCTCGATGGGTTAACAGCTACTGCTCCCTGTAGTGACCCACATTTTAAAGAATACATGTTCTCCCTAATTGGTTATAAAAAAATAAACCTTGGAGATTGAGAAATAAAACAGGAACATAATGAGTGAAGGTAATTGAAAATGCCAATCTCTAAATATCGCATTTCTTGACAGCAGGGATTTACTGAGCTTCAGCGTTTCTTCGTTTCCCCCTCGGCACAAAGACACCGTCCACCAGACCACCTTTTTTTAAAATCTGGCATTTAGCTCTG